CACTTCACACAATAAGACAGCGATTTTGTCTTTTAAACAGCAAGTTAGACATGTATTACAAAAATACGTGGAGTGCGTGCGAAATCGACCGATACCCATTCACAGCAAGATGGGAGACTTACCGTCAGCTCGTATAACAGAAGTAGCCGCGTTTTCTCATGTAGGAGTAGATTTTTACGGACCGTTATACATTAAAGAGAAAAAATTACGAAATTGCAATCGATCAAAAGTTTACGGATGTGTGTTTGTGTTCATGGCGTCCAAGGCCGTTCATCTCAAAATCGTAAGCGGCTCGACGACTGAAGATTTTTTGGGTACTTTTAAACGGTTTTGTGGCTGACAAGACATTTTAAGTCACGTGTTTTCGGACAATGGCACCAACTTCGTCGGAGTCAATAATCAAACACAAGAGATGTATAATATGTTCAATTCCGGTCGATTCCGTGACGATGTCAATCATTTTGCTGAGATGAATAACACCTTCGCTAATTGGCGCGCATCCTTAGGAAGAAAGGGGGGTTGAGGGAGAGAGAAAAGGTAACGCCACTTGAAAACTTCGGTAGTCTTCGTTCAGTCTAATACTTGCCTTTGTACAGAGTGGTCTCCAGTTGTTTTTCTGAGAAATCGTGTACGTAGCTTGTCTTGGGTAATTTTTGCTCGTTTGAGTTTTTGAGAACTTTTTCGTTACGCCACGACGCATCAACGGGTTTTTTTTGCATCAATTCGTCTTTGTTCGTCTAAATCTAGAATACAGCCGCGTGCCACGTCAACATTCACCACGTGCTGTGAGCACCCAAGGTGAAAATCCGTACCCGCGTTGTTCTATTCCATTTTGTATGGGTCTTTTTTTCCTCGTAGGAGGTTTTCTCGCAAGAGCTTCCTTTGAGCCACAAATTATATCTTCATCAGTGGCTCATACATAGTGTTTTTCTTGTTTAGTTCAACCCAACCCATCCTATCCTTTGTAAATTAACGTAAATGCTTTCACAATTAATTTCTTTTCATTTTCCGTAAAGTAGTTTCGTATTTTAGCTGTTTAATTATTGCCCTTAAATTTAGAAGTTTGTTCTGTGCTCCCGCATCATAGTGTTTACCTTTCTCGAGTTTTACATTTTGTATTTTGTATTTGCTTTACGGTTTCCCTACTTAATATCTTAGTAATAAATCAGATGGCTTCGTCGCTTGGACGCAGTCATTAGGGTGGTATAAGATCCTTGTGCCACAATTCAGTGTTATTCCTAACCCAACGAAATTTTTCTGCATTTTTCTTGTCCCACCCTCTGCTATATATTTAAATTTGTTGGTGTCCTTAGCTAAACAGTTTTATTTATTTATTTTTTTTTTAAGGTTCTGACCTCGTGAGAGGTATGAATAACTGTATAAAATTAACTGTGTAATCGTTTGACATATAATGTAATCATGCATATTTATTAAAACTCAAGAAATCAAAAAATAATTGAAACCATGATAGTCATTACCAGTAGCTCTACAACTGCAAGAAGACAGAACACCGCACTGCCCGAATTCAGGAAAAAAATCAAAAATTTACCAACATAATTATATCAAAAAATATTGTTATAATTTATAATCATACAATAAAGGCTGAGTATATACCTGCTTTATCTAAACGTCACCGTTAGGATTTTTTATTTATTTTCTTCTATTTATGTGGAGTAGCTTGTGATCTAGTAAATAAGTTTGGCAATATTTTCATCTTCAAAAAGATCAGTCCAAGCGACTTACTAAACAATATATGTGTATACTAACAAACGATCACCATTTTCAACAATTTTAACGCATCTACCGTTCATAATCATTTTTTAAAAAAAAATTGATCTGCTGTGTAAGGGCTGATATATATTGGAACTGAAAACTATCAATAGAAAATAGTTAAGAGTAAACAAAAAAGATTGTTTTCTTTTATTATGCATCTCAATAAAAAAAATTTTTTTAGACATTGACAAAATTTTAAAATTATTTTTATTGCTTGTAATAGTTTTACATATATTTTTGATTTACAACACTTTGTTTAACATGTTTAGATGTTAATTTTAACTCAAATATTTTTTTCAACATCAACTACGGAAATTCATTTATTTATTTCTTTACTGATTTATTAACTGGCCAATGACCCAATTACATACTAAAAAAAAAAAAATATGTAAGAATATCGTATGGTACCACGCACACTCACATTACCGATAAAAATAGTCGTCAAAATATAGACTTTAGTATCAATTATAACAATTGTATAAAATAAACTGAATATTTTATCATCATAATTAATCAACAAGATCTATACGTATACATAAGGATTAGCATAACAAAAACTAGTTCAAATGTGTGAGTGTACGAAGATTTGCTTTAAAAAATCAGTACTGGAGTGTATAGGTAGGTTTCAAATAATTAAATTTCATAGATGTCTTAAACGAGGTGTAGGTGAATTATATAAATCATTTGTAGTATAAGTATGTTCTATCAGTGTGCGAGGATTTCTCAAACTGTAATTAAGGGTTCTGGAAAAAAATAAAATGGTAGTTTTCTTACCTCGTGGCGCGTGTTGCCAGGGCTAGCAGCAAGCTTCTTGAGCTTGCCCTGGTTGGATACGCATCAGATGTGAACCCTATTTTTCCTTCCAAGGGTACACTCAACCGTCAAAAACGCCTATGGGTAGAAAGTACAACTTGCGCTCTTGTTAGGCGTGGTTGTTGTATGCTTATGCCTGAAGTGAGAATGACTTTTTTTGTATTAACGGCGTAAAGTGCAACTTTAAGTCCATGGGCACACTTTCCAGCTGCTCATTACTTTCCGCCCGGGGTCGGGATTAAAATTTGGGTCTGACAAGGCTGAAATAGTTATTCCTACCAGTGGGCGCAAAACACCACGCCTGAGGGACAAAAATGATAGTTCCAAACAATGCATAAAGTTATTTTTTTTTAAAGATTATCATAATTATGGTATGAGTAATGCATAATTAAATCTGTTTCACAAGATGCTAGTCAAAGAGCTTTATAATGGTAGTTTTCGTCGGATAAGTGCCATCGTCTCTGAGGCTATTTTCCGGCTCAAGGAACTTAGGGTAGCCGCGGGGCAATGGCGCTTGTGTGGCAAATCCTATTTTTTCTACCAAGGGCATACCAGCCTCTCAAAATCGCCTGGGGTAGGAAAACTCTATTGTTAAGTTGATGTAGTTTTACAAGAGTATAAGGGGACTAGACCATGGATGCCTATGTAAACCATGGTAGACCAAGTAATTCGAAAAGGTATGTTATGGATTCTAGTGTAGTGAAGATAAATCTTAAGTAATTAGATGAATAAAGTCTGATGTATATGTAACAACATTTTCTTTGGTGAATCGTCTCTCATTTTTTAGCTTAACTGATACAGTATATTATGTACGAGCTTGCAAAGGCTTCGATTTAGGAACCGAGAGGTTTACGGCACGAGCCGAAGGCGAGGGCCGTAACGAGGTTCGTAAAGAAGCCTTTTCGAACGAGTTTCGTATACTATTTTTCCGCCTGAGAACCCAAAATCTATTACTCTATTCGCTATGCACCTATGTCAGGTGGCGGGAGTGAGAAAAATTGTCCCTTGCTAATATCGCCAGAAAGCACGGAGCCTTATAGGAAAGTTTTTTAATAAATTAAAAAAAAAAAGTTATTAGGAGTAAATTGACCAAATGAATCAATGATTTTAGTGTGTATTATGTTAATGTACAGTAATAAATTTTTCTTGGTGTTGTCATTTGTACTACAAGATTGGGAAAAGTAAAAACATGGATTACGGCTGTGATAGCACAACATACATAAATACATGTATATGCTTGCCCTTGTGTGGAGCTTGAGAAACACAAGTACTGTTTACATTTACCTTTTTCTTACAGTACAGTGTTTCATAAACGTGAATACTAATGACAGGTTAGGTTAACTTTTTCGCATTTATATTACGTTTCCGGGGATTACTTGTGTACTTTAAGCTTTACAAAATTGTAAGCATGTATATACACTCATATATGCTGTGTTATCACAGTCATAATCCATACTTTTATTGTTTTCAATCTTGTAGTACACATGAAAACACCAAACAAAATTTATAACTGTGCACTAACATAATACACACTTAAATCACTGATTTATTTGGTCAATTCACGCTTAATAACCTTTTTTTAATTTATTAGAAAATTTTTTGATAAGGCTTGGTGCACTCTGGCGATCTTAGCGAGGGGAAATTTCTCTCACTGGATGGCGCCACCTTACATAGGTGTATAAGCAAATACATGCTTTTGGGTGTTTTTACGGGTCGGGTGTGCTCTCGGTGGGAAAAATAGGATTCACCACGTACGCGCCATCGCTCCGTGGCTACCTTACGTCTCTCGGGCCCTGCTTTGCAGGTCCCTCAGGCCGCAAAATAGCTTCAGAGACGATGGCACTTATCCTACAAAAACTACTATTTCTTACCATGGGCCCCAAGTGCAACTGCGGCTTTGCGCCCTCAGGTTACACTTTGCGCCCTTGGAATCACTTTGAGCCCACGAGCAAAAAAGTTTTTGCGTCCTCCGGACCCAAAGTACTTTTCTACCTTAGGGCCCAAAGTGATCTACCGGGTGCAAAGTGTGCCCACGGTCACAAAATTGCACTTTGTGCTCTCGGTAAGAAAAACGTTATAAGTACGCGACTCGGGCACCAACATGTAACAATCGCGCTTTTCAGGCGCTCATATATGTACTTTATACCCTAGTGACGTAATGTATCATTTCGGAATTCGTTGGGCAGAAACGAAATATTCATACGTTGGACAGTGAAAAAGAAAGTTTCTGATTAAACCGAAAAAATTTCTTATTTTGTTGACTTAGGTATGTTATATATTATTCCAAAAAGCTTTGTTATTTGATTTACAGTTTAAAAAAGTATATAAAAAAAAGATAATTGACAAAGGACACTTATTATTTTCTGGATTTTATTTTAGTTACATACATTTAGAAAAATTTCTACCTAAAAGATATTTACAAACATAAATAAATATGAACATATTAAACAAAAAAACAAGAACATAGTATAAACTTAAACATAAAAAACTACATACATTCATAAATGTTTAAGAATAAATACAAATATCACAAAATAATTTGACTGATTGATTAATACCATGCAAACATGAATTACAATGTTGAAGCTTCAACATCGGGAATGTTATTTAAATGATCTTTCTGCCAGGTATAAGTCGGTGGACCCATACTGAAGCAAAATGATTCGCTCAATGGATCGTCATTTTCAACATAATACATCAAGTAAAAGTTACACATTTCATCTTTATTCGTATTTCCTATAAGCGTCCAGCTGTCACGTTCGCTCTGCATTGTGCACCGAGCAGCTAACACATCTCCATTATTTATGGTGACATTGTTAAACGTCTTATAAAACATTTGCGGTGTCAAAGGATCCCTTTTACCCAGCTTGATCCACTTGTTATCTTTTATTACGTAACCAGCTACAATCTTACCCAAAGCGTGCGTGTGCGTTCTGTATGCGAAAGGGTATAGGGTCTTATTTTCCGTAATTCTGCATGATGTCTCCATGTATTGGATGCTGTGAGGTGGAATACCACCACCAGTTCCTAGAACGTAGACTCCAGCTAGTTTTTTCAATGGTTGGGTCGTATAGTGCAAAACTATTCCAGAATCATCTGTACTGCCGTCTTCAAAGCGTTGAACATGGGAATAATGCACTTGCAACACTAAATATTTGAAACGGGATTTCTTGCCTATTTTAAATCCTACTCCTTCAGGTAATATCAGTGCTGGAGCATCTCTGGCCCATGCATAAATTATCTGGAAGCATATAAGAGTTATGTAATAATCATTTGTTCTTAGTAGAGTATGTAAAATAAAAGTAATTGTATGTGAGGAAAACGACTAAAATAGCATAATAAGCGTATAAAATAGAAATTCTTCTGGACTTCTTAAAAAGTTTTTGCAATATTTTAATATTCAAGAGTTTATTACGCAGTAGTAAAATATACTTATTTATTAAAAATTTTCAGGGGCTTACGATTGTGTGCTGTAATATTCATTTTGATTTAATATTCATACACGTCAGCACTCTTATAAAAAAATGTCCAATGATCATGTTATACGTAAGTCTATAAAAAAATTATCCATATTTATTAAAAAGTAATAGGTACTAAAAAAATTGTGTACAATATGCATGTTATTTTCAGTATTTTCTAGTGCTAAATATTGGATAAATACTTTTTTAAATAAATACATTAGAACTCATTATTTGGATCAAGTATTATGAACATAAATATACGAAGTGCAATAAAGAGCCCTATGTCTTTATAACTATAATGTTTTATGTTATCATTTGAAAAAAAAATTTTTTTTTTATCTAAAAGCCATGATGTGTAACTTATTTACCTTCATTGTATAAAAACCTTGAATAACATGAACAGTAGCTCTAAGAGTTTTAAAACATCCTTTATTTTTATCACCTACAGTTTTGTTTGAGTTAAAATTATTTAATTTTTTAGCTAAACGTACATCACATAAAAGCTTTCACGTTTCGACACTAGAAAAACTTGAGTAAATTTTGCACCTCCTGTAATGTTTGGAACCGTTCATCAGAAAGCATATCTAACTTTAAATCTAAATTTATGGGGAAAAAATTACCTATTTTGATGGCACGTTAAGAAATTATAATTTATGACGATTCTTCACATAAATAATTTAAATAATGTTAAAACTGGGAAGAGAGAGTTAATCATGAAGAATTAATTATTGCCTATTCGTTTTTTTTTAATTTTTATTCTTATTTTCGTAGGTACAGGTGCTAGAACTAAAATTATGCTCATCTCAAACGATCAATTTCACGAAATAAGATACTAAAACAATCATTGACTTCAACGGTCACCCATCAAAGTACTATTAGTGAACAAAGCTGCTCAATATTCCTATTAGATAAAGCTACAACTTTTGTTTATATTACATATATATAAGTAAAACATGTTTGATAATAAATTCAGGGGNCGTTTCCGTCTTCCTATATATATATATATATATTTAAATAAATACCTATTTGTGTAGTGTATTTATTTGAAAGCTTTATTAGGTCCTTAAAGGCTTTTATAGCTACAGAATATAACATTATTGACATACATTGGGTTGAGAACTGTGGGTTGGATGTTACAACTAATTTTTAATCCTAAGTCAGTGTCATGAATTGGATTCCGGAAAAGACCATCAGAAAAAATCTGAGTACCCCAACCGGAAATCGAACCCATGATCCTTTGAGATGTGTTGTATCAATGGCTAGCACGCTAACCAAGTGAGCCAACGACGAGCTCGTAAATATATATGTTTAGCAGTAGCAGACAAGAAAAGAGGCGGTACAATGTGTACTAACCCTACCGTATCCATATGTACCTGCACCTATGCCTACTATGGGCAGCATGGCCAACTGTCGACGTATCGACCCTGCGTAAAAGTTGGTGTGTGTGTGTGTGTGTACCAACACATGCAGGTAGCTAGGGCACCAAGGCAGCACGAATGGGCGGGCCAGCAAGAGGAGCACTCTAGCTCTTGTCTGCTTTCTGTCGTGACGTGTCATTTCGGAGGCAACGATATACATCGTTAGCGTGCGTTTTCTTAAGCGCGTGTGTAAATAACATTTCTAACATTGAGCAGCACCAAGCAACAGCAGGAGACGCAGCAACGACTATACCTGTTGATGACCTGGGTCGTTGCAACAACCTACACACACGCGGTACCAAGGACTATTGTGTCCAAGTGCCAATACCTGTCCGCTACCAAGGACTATCGTGTCCAAGTGCCGACACCTGCCCATCGGATCTCCCGGTAACCGCATCCAGTGTGATAGTTAGCACGTCTGTAGCGGTGAAACGGTAGGCCTATAGGTCTATTGGGATCTCAACACGTCACGTGACTTTCGCAATTTATATAGCTGAGTCGGGGTAAATTAACGTAGGCCTTACGGGGACAAATAGGTTTTTATTTTTTTTACGCTAGAAACGATTATAACTCTGTAAAAGTTGGCAAATAACCTGTTTCGCCAGCTTTTACAGTATTACAATCATTTCAGATGTACAAAAAAAATAAAAGTAGATTTATCCCCTTAAGACCTATGTTAATTGACCCCTACTCAGTTATATACATCGTGAAAGTCACGTGACGTGTTGGGATCCCAATAGTATATACTACCTTATATTCCGTCCCTACAGCGTAAGCATGGTGCCGAACAGCAACTACCGAACCTTCACCAGTAGAGCTAAGGCCGTATTAAATTAGGCAAGGTTGGATAGTTAGGCAGTTTAATTCTTTATGTAGTACTTGCTTTGAGTTATTTGAGAATATGGATAACAACTGTATTCTGAAACATTGGTGCCTTCCATTAATGCACGTTCAAGTGCCACCTATTAGTCTCATCCCTTTAGTCCTGTAATGAAATACCCACATGCCATGCCTTGCTACTTATAAGTGAGCGAGGCCTGACATGTTACAATATTTATTTTATACATACAGTTTACTTTTTCAAAGTTTTAGTAGGTGAAAGATATACGTCAGGCTCCTAATAAGTCCTTCAAGTACTATTACTTTTTAAAAGTAAAATACGATTATTATTGTCTGTGTGATAAATATGGGCCATAAAGCCGTTATATTAACGAAAATGAGACATATTTATCTCAAAATTCTCAAAACTAGATTCTTTTAGTCACAGTGTTTACGAAAAAGTCTTATTGTTAAGTTAGCTGCGAGCCAAACTTTTCTTATGTAGGATTGGTATAAGCGTGTTCTTAAAACTAATAGTCCTGTCAACAGCATGTAACGTTGGCTACAGGCATTTTGTTATGGAAGCCTGTACAGTTCACTCCTCACTGGGGCGCTAGTGTAGTCAGATCTACTTGTAACACATGACTCGTGATGAGCCCAAACCCGCAAGAATTGTTATTTCTCAGTTAAAAATTTATAGCTATAATTATACCTATAAATTATAGCTATAACTACCTATAAAACAGCTATAATAATGTATAAAATTCAGCTATAAATATAGCTATAAATTACAGCTGTAATCTTTTCACAAATTTTGAATAAAAATTAGTTTAAAATCATATTTTTTCAACATATATCGATCAGTAAAGACTGTATCATCCGTGTGATAACAGTAAAACTGAGGGCCTAAAGTATTTTTAAACAATTTTAAAAAAACTTGAAATTGTATATGATTTCTTGTTTTTTTTTTCTACTTATTGAAAAATACTTCAGGCCCCCAGTTTTACTGTTATCATACGGATGATACCCTCTGTACTGATGGATATATGTTGAAAATATCTGATTTTAAACTAATTTTTATTCATTATTAGTGAAAAATTTACAGCTGTAGTTTATAGCTATATTTATAGCTGAATTTTGTACATTATTATAGCTGTTTTATAGGTAGTTATAGCTATAATTATAGCTATAAATTGTAGGCATATTAATAGCTATAAATTTTTGACTGAGTTGCTGCTGCTGTTGCTGTGGGTAGTGGGTAGAAAGAGATCTATTAGTTATAAGTAATAAGTTTGTAACTTATTTTGCAGTGCAATGTTGGTAAATTTTTAAAATTATTTATTCGATTTATTCAAAATGTCGATATTACACCGTAATAAACATAACTTTAACATTACAAGTATTCTGCAATTTTAACAGGATGAGTATTTTAACATTGGTACCGCTTTTTTTCAAAGTTTGCGACAGTAAAAATAAATTTTATTTACCTGAACAAAATTTATTTCAACAGAATACTACGTAGGAATAATTATAAATTAGTTATAAAGACCTAATCAATAAAATTGTTTAAAATACTTAGATTGTAACTACTGCATGATCTCACGTTACAAGTTTTGAAGTTTGAAGGCGAGTTTTAGTATTGTTATTACTTTTACTCAGATGTTAACTGATGCGTACATAGACATGGCATAAATATATGAGTAACACCTATATAAAAACTTCTGAAGTATCAAATTGTTGTATTCACCGCCTTACCATCTTGCATGCTACGAATAGTCACTAGTGTGATGATTGTGAGTAATACTTATAGTACAAACTTAAAATATAATTTTTGTTCTTTAAACATTTGACTTATTACATTACGTTGTAGGTTTTGGTGTTTATAGAAAATTTTTACTTAATAAGGGCCTGGTCTTACTAATATATAAAGCAGTCACAAGAACCGTTGCAATTGCTAACCGCAAAAACTACTAAACCAATCTTGCTAAAATTTTACATACTGATTTTTGACACTCCCTAGACGATTTAAGTATAGTTTTTATTTTAAAAAATTGATAAAAATAGCAATAAGTACGCTAAGAGTTTTTGAAAAATACGCTTGCTTTTTACTTTAGTTTAGTAGGATCCACGGATCCACTAGGTGACGTGAAAGTAAAATCAAAGAAACCTGTAAAAGAATTAAGTAAGTCTGGTTATAATATGCCCAAGCAAATTGCCGAATATCACAGACGCTTACCAGCAGTGCACGAAGCAGAGAGCTGGGAGTCATACAGCTGGGTATCCCAGCTACAGACAACATAGTTCTCTAATGGACAAGCAATTTACATCGAATTCCATTCCAGACCACCAAGTTTAACAAGTGCTGTCAATAAATAGACGTTCCGATCGCTAACGTCTCCAACGTAGTACCAGGAGACGTCTAGCTAGAGCACAATCTGATCTAGCAATTCAGATTTATATGGCCGTTTTCCCAACCAACCAGTGACTCGTCCCAACGGTATACCCACAGAGAATGTATTCTCCAGGCCTACTCTCCCGACTAA